ATCCCTCCCCAGTGCAAGTTTTAAGGTTTACCATTAGAATATCCCCATACAAATAGCGGATTCAGCTTTCATTCAATATGGCAATGGAAACTTATTAGCCAGCAGCTATAGGAAGATGGGCATAAGTGGCCTCCTAAAGTAAAGTAGCTGCTCGAAGGTTCCTGCCCCACACAACCCAGGTGCCCTTTCTATGCCTGCCCTTTTTCCACCCTTCTGGCTTTTCCTTCCTTTGCAGTTGTTCTGAATGTTAGAGTCAGTATTAGCATAGTTATCCTTTAACTCGTCCACGTGGCTGAAACGGAGATGGTTAGGAACTTCTACAAGCAATAAGATGACACTTTTTTTTTTCCCTGTAAAATGATAACTCCCCTATCACTTAAAACCTCCTGACTTCACAGCACTCCTGACCTGATCAAATGAAATAGCACACTTATAGAATAGCGACTGTAAAAACATAATAAAAGGGAGAACTGATTTTGGCCACAGCTGGGGACACTGAAGGCACAGTGGCATATCTGGAAAATCTGGAAAGCCAAACATACTGGTAGTAAATAGAAATAAACACAAGGCAGGAACCTCCTACACATTTACAGATGTAAAGAGGCCTTTCTCACAAACATATGTTCGGCCTCGTAAGCTCTTACAAGCCCTACTGTGCTGTCTCTTTAAAAAAAAAAAAAGAAAAGAAAGAAATTGTGGATATGACAAAAAATTATACATGGCAAAAATAAAGTTCAACTCTAGCCTTCCCCATTGCTGCCATTTTGCAGATGCATGATCTCTCTACTTAAAAAAATCCCCAACACCCCAACACACTCCATTAAAAACACACAGGCTAATGACCATATCCAGCTAACGTGCTCCGATAGCAAATTATGACAATTAATGTCCTGGTAGCTCGCTAGCAGCCTGTAGAGCTTCTGTGGCAGCGGTGAAGTATGCAAGGCCGAAACATCAGTCTAGTTCTGAGCATGCATGCTGAACAACTCAAATGGAGCAACTTTATAATTGTACCAGATCTGCAAGGTTTGCCTAGTTCAACTGATTCACAGAAAATCAAGCCCATCTATTAACAAGTCTCTGTGTTATAAATTCAGCCTCAGTGACTCTGCATGATTACACTAACATTGGAGTAAATAAAAACATAACACTACTGCCAAAGAACAGAACCAACACATAATCAAATAAAAGAGATTACGGGTGAACAAGTAACAAAGAACAGTAAATATTATTAATGTGATACCAGGCAGAGAGCCATGGCAAAAAAAGAAACTGCACAGATATGAAGCAGCCAGGCATAAGAAATCAACCACACTAACCACTAAGTATAACTAATTACGCATAGTTATCTTATTGCTATATTATTTTTTATCAGGCTAATTGTTTCACAAGAAGTACAAGAAGAGAATTACGGGTCTGTCTGGTGACACTAACAAACCGGGGAGAAACATTTAAATTAGAGAACTACTGCTGAAGATTCTTATTGCAGAGATAAACAAGACAGCTTTGCAGCAGAAAATACAAAATATGAGCATAGCTTCTTCCATATATTACATTTCGTTTCAGGATTTACCTAGTTCTTATGTAAAGGATGACAAAACCATATTATTATGAAGAGAACGTTTGTGTGTAGGCATGTTTTATTCATAAATATTTAAAAAAGAATTCAAGAAAGGTCCTTTACTTTTTTTTTCCCCATACCCAATTTTAAATGCGTTATAGTACTGTCACATCAAGCAAAGCTTTCCCAGTAGCTAAACTGCTACCTATGTTATATGAAGGTCACACAGCTGACTACACACAGATATATGGAACTACCCAGGCAAGAATACAGAACTTCCTCCATGACATATTAGGTCATTTTATTTACAGTATTTGGAAGTACGAATTAACATTCAACCAATTGAAATATTGTAAAAGAGATCTTTTATGTTTAACTCTGGCATGGTTGTCCATTTTACCTTCCTACCTTAAACACATTTGTTAGGAGTGAAGATAAACTTTTCTACTTGTTATACGTTTCTGAACGCTTCATCTTCTGCTGGCAAAGTGAAATTGAAGCCATCAACCACTTACAGTTTTCTTAGCTTGCATTTGTCTCCCGATATAGTGGAAATCGTCTCTCATGTTACCTCAAGCAGTTCTTGATCTTTAGAAGTAATTGCTATTAATGGGAACAATCCCAGACAGAGATGTCTGGGGAAACAGCTATTTAAATTTTTGTTTGGACTCTGTGTGTGTGTGTGTGTGTGTGTGTGTGTGTGTGTGGTGTATATAAAAGTATACACACACACACACATATATTATATATACATGCACACAGTGTGTATATATATACACACACTATGGTACCAAAAAACACACAGAAATCATTTTTATAATAAAGTATCACATGTGAAAGCTTTAACACGTTCCATGTAAAGACCAAGGTTGGTACATGAAATCGATTACAAGAAGAAAAAACCCTCACCTTCAGATAGAGCTTTTCATTTTAGTAACAGGAGTCTAATATATAAGATATATACATATATATATATGCCCTTTTCTTCGTTCAAAAGTACATTTAAAAGTTTGACAATATTTCTAGAGTGAAACCATACTGTAGACTTTGTCAGTTGATAACTTTCTAGAAAACCAATGCAGTAAAGCCAAGAACATGGAAGCAGACACAGTAACTACTCTGCTTTCTTAAAGGCTGAAGAATCAAATCTTTGTTGTAGCAAGGTTTCTGATAGAAACAAATTTTCTATTACATAGTAAGACAGAAAAACATGTTGCTAAATCACTCCATTTAACTTTATGTTTTGGAAAAAAAATAATATGATGTAGCCTTGATAAAAACCAGTCATAACTTTCAAGTCAGAAGTAAATTTCAAACTTCACTCATGATCTTCAAGGTCATTAAGATTAGTTAAACCCCTATCTTAAATATCAACCTGTACTTCAGAACTTTGTGCCAGTACTGCTTGTTATGAGAAGTACTTTGTTCTAAAATACTTTAATACTTGCAAAAGACATGAACTAGATTCAAGAGAAAAGATTTACACCCTCAGATATAGCTGGGCTGAGTTCCCGTGTTTCTGCCTTTCCAATGCTTCTCTCCCTTGTCACACCAGTTTTCACAGATGCATGACCATTAAATTACTACCAAGTCTCACGGACAACTTCAGCAGCAAAGACAGCAGGTGAGACACTCAAGACGCCAACAGAAAGAATACTTATCCAGGCTTTTTGATTCCTTTTCCAGGAGGGAAATGCCCTGCAACTTCCTCCTCCTGTCAGCACAGGTGCCAGTTCTACAGCATGGCAATGGCTGGGGCATTTCACCTAACTGTGGTGTGATTGCTCCAGTAGGATACAATCTGTCACATGCAAAAAGTGCACACTGATCCTTTTTAAGTTGTCTCTGGAATCTCTCTTTGATCTTGATAGTCCTTCACAACAAAATCAGTATAACCCATTGTAAAACAGACAAAAATATTTTTTTTTTCTGCGTGCCATCCATATTTAGTCTACTGTTCCTGCAGCAAACTTGCACTATCAATACAAAGCAAGAACTTGCACAACATGCTGAAAATGAATTAAGGCCATACAGAAAGTCTTCCTTCTTGTTCCTAATGTTTCAAGAAGTTTCAGGAAGTAGTAAGAGAAAACCTGTTTTTGTCAAAAATAGGATTCCACTTAGTTCCCTGCTGCAGATTACACATGTACAAATAGTTATGTTTGCTAATGTATGCTAAATGATAAAGAAACAGGTATCATCTGTGATACTAGCTTATGGTAAGAGAACATGCATTCAGCAACTACCGATAGGAACTTCAGTCTACTCTGGAAAATAAGAAATAATGACATGTCCAAAGAAGGTAATAATAATTTAAAAAAAAATCAGAGATAACAATAGCAGGAAGTATTGTTGAAACCGTAAGGAGAAGTTATTGCATCTACCAATTCAGGTCTCCGTCAGTATTCTTGTTGTCACACACAACTTTTTCACACCAAGAAACTGCTATCTTGCAACTAGTTCCATTTGTTTCTTTCTGGGTTGTTTCTATCCGTAACCATTTTCTACATAGATGAATGAAAGCAAAGTTAACTTC